TGTTGTTGGGGATTTATGCCTTTCGGATTGTCTTTGGAGGATTTTAATAGAAATACAGATAACACTTCAAGCTGGTCTCCATTCTCGCCCATGTTTACCTCTCCACGATTTGGGGGGGATGGAGGGAGTAATGTGAACAGTCATGCTACTGGAGGACAGATAAATGTGAATAATCTTGGCAGTTCACTTAATGCTGGTGGATCAATAAGTGGGGGTGGACGAAAGCATTTTACTCCGACAATTTATGTTGAAGATGATGATGATGATGTGTTTGTTGAGGTATCCGAGTCAGGTCAGGAGTCAGATGTGGATTGGAATCGGAGTAAGGAGAGGAAGGAAGCAAAGAATGTGAAGAAAAAGAATGCAAGGATTGGAACCCCAAGAAAAAATGCCAAGAAACAGCACACTGATAAGGCAAAAACTGTTGAAGGAAACAATGACGACAATTTGCAAGATGGTTTAGCAACTCAAGGTGGTGTGGAAATATCCCATGCTGTAACAGTTGAGTCAAGTAACAGAGGAGTCACAAGTAAGACAAGAAGGCAACGTGGGAGGGTTGCAAAACACTTCGGGAATTTGGATTTGAATGTGGAGTTCAGTAATGAGGTTGAGGAGCCTATAATTCAAATGAGCCGAGAAAATGAAGCAGGAGAGGGAGAAGATGACACTGTTGAAGTAATTGGGTTTTTTGAAGGTCTTGATGAATTCCTTAGCAGTCTTCCTATACTCAATGCTGTGGATGGTGATAAAGTAGAGGCTGCCTAGCTAAGTAAGACACTTCTTTTGTTGTAGTTGTAGCTATAATTTTTGTCTTCTGGATGCTGTAGTTAAGAATGGTGTAGAATTACTCGGGCAGTGGTGTTGATGTTTCTGTTGTAATGCTAATTTCTTACTTTTCTCTTCCGAAGTAGCTGCAGTAATCAGTTTACTGCTTCTATCTCCATGCTCCACGAGCTTCTTATTATTAGTCATCATAGTTTTCTTTATATTGCTTAGTTCTTCCATTCTATAAGAATTATCTTTCATTTTTAAGAGATGAAATGGGTTTCATTGAGGCCTCAATTCACCGTCCATCTGATATTGTGGTACAAAGTTGAATTGCAACTTGAACTCCTGTCTATGTCAATGGTAAGTAGTAGTCTGTTTCGGCAGGCAACTGATTGTGCCTAAGTGCTATTCTTATTTTTGCTTATCTGGAGTTACAAGTTGAGGATCTTATTGGTTAACGATAGTTATTATCCCACTGTAATAAATACTTCTAACCATGAAGATCCTCAACTTGTCGCTTCAGATAAGAAAATTAGTCATTGCATGGTAACAACAAAATATCTTTTTTTCACTTTTGTTCTGTCCCTTGTTACAGCATGTCAAATCAATATTTTCAACATCTGTAAAAATAATCTTTCAGTTAGGATTGCTCTGAAATGCTAAGCTTCAATAGCTTAATACTCTCATTTGAGTGCACTCTTTTTTTAAATATTCATGTTTTTTTTATTGATGAAGTTGTATTAATAATGGCATTAAGAAGATGCAAAAATTATAAAGTGAGGCATTTGAGCTTACAAAAAATCTCTAGCTGACTATACAAACTATCTAAGCCAGAATGAATGAGTAATAAAGTCCTGAAGATGTTTTGCTTTATATGTAATTGGTTGCTTTGTTTTGGGATCTCCCAAGTATTTTGCCATGATGTGTCCGTATTTGATATTGCTGGTTTTTGATGTTTCTTTTTCATATTCCTAAATGATAACCTTCTTTAGCTGTTACATATGTGCTGCACATTGTTCATTTTTCTCATCCAAAATGTAGATACTATTTTTTTCATGAGAATCATCACTTGTATTCAGAATGATTTCTCTTCATTTCCAAGTAAGTGTTCGGTTAAAAAATTTCCAAATCCAACTTGGAGTTGGTTTTCAAGTCTGGAGAAGTGCTACAAACCTATTTTCCAACTCCATCTTCATTAATTCCAAAATAGTTCTCTCTTCTCTCTTTTGTAAAATGTATCACCAAACATAACCATCTTCAGCTCATTAACTTCATAAATTTGAAATAAAGTGAAAATATTCGAACCTATGGCCAAGCCTATTAAATTATAGTAATTGAATCATAGTCATATATAAATATTTGAATCACACCGGTCGCGGGTTTGAGTCCTATACCAAGCAAATTAAGCCTAGTATTTAAGTGGAGAAAGATAAAGCAATTGATGTGGGTTTTTATTGGATACGAGGAGTTTCGGATCATCCCAAAGTTCTATAAGTTACGATTAGGATTGGATCTTTGAAGTGCTGATGATAGATTCTTGAGCTATGATGAGATGGAAATAGTGGAAATAGTTCCTGATCTGGTGTCTGTAGTTTTGTCCCATGCCACTATTCTTGAAGAGTTCCAGACAATGAGGGAGAAACTAGAAATGAAAAAGTGTGTGCTGCAGCAGGCAAATAGAATGCTATGAAATTAAGCCAGACATGGACTTCGTTTCAGAAGGTGATGCACTCAATTTTGGGTTTGCTCTCCATATTTCAGGGATGAGAAAGCAAGCTCTGACCAGAAGATTATTGTTAACCCAAGGGTGAAAAATGAAAACAGGCACTGTTCTCTTCGCACATTAATAGTTCTTGTGCTGCAGCAGGCTAAAGACTAAATAGAATGCTATGAAGGAAAGCCAGACAGGGACGTTGTTTCAGAAGGTGATGAATAATTGAATGAGGCGGGCGATGCACTCAATTTTGGGTTTGCTCTCCATATTTCAAGATGAGAAAGCAGCAAGCTTTGACCAGAAGATCATTGGTATACCTGCTAAAGATGATAGAAGGTTTCCAGTAGAAATGAGGCCCTTAGTTGCATTTACAGGGCAGGTAGACTTCTTTTTTTGTTAAATGGTTGTGCATCTATAAGGGCTTTGGATTTTCTATAGATGTTCTTACTTCTTTGCCTAATCAGGTGATGGGCATTGAGAAGAGAACATTTAAGGTATTGGCACTTATGGTAGGTCTGTTGTTAAATGTCAGCATTTTAAAGGGCTCTGTTATATTTGGAGTTGTTTTAGAGACTGGAGCTGATGGTGGGAATGACGGTTCGGGGAACAAGAAAACCATCGACGACAGCGTAATACGTGACCATAGAATTTAATTTTGAGTTTAGGCTTGAAGCCTCTCAATCATATAGCTCAATCTCCACCATTCACTTTGTGGAAGAAGGCATAAATACTAGGGAGTGATGGAGGGCGTGCGTTTCAGCATGTGCAAAAAGCTTGTCCAGGTTAGTTATCCCAATTCTTATTGCTATTATGTTCTCATTTAAATTGGTTACGTAGCTAACAAGTATTGATAGATAATTAGAGCTCTTGATTATGTATAAGAAGTAATATTCATGGCTCGTGTGATATACATACATACATGCTGCCAGGTAGGTCTGCGTGCAGGTATTGAGTAGGGCTGGGCAGAGTTTGAGCCAAACCCAAATCTGAGTTCTTTGGATATTTGGTTTGGATTTTCGGTATACGGATTGGATTTTGGATTTAATTTCTATAATATTTAGATTTTGGATTTGTCAACGGTAATCCATCTATTTATACCTTATATTCTTCTGTATTTGTTTGTGAGTATTAAAGAGGGACGCACTAGGATAGTGCCAAAACCTTAAATACAGTGAAAGGACATCAGATCCAACTAGAAATCCTAACAGTTATTGAGCACCTACCAGATATGCTAATGATACCTGCCTCCTCTTCAAAACATTACACCAAAAATGAAAAATAAGAAAGCACGTCATCTTTAAATTCTGTTAAGAGCTACTTCTTCCTTCAAACATTCTTACATTTCTTTCTTTCCATGTCCACCATATACAAGCAGGAACCAGTCTCCACCATTTCTTCTGTCCAACTACACGCGTTGCAATTCCAACTCCTTGAGCAGGTCACTGGTGTTTGAAGTCATACACCATTGGAGTCCCACAATGTTAAGACACAGAAGACTAGTGACAAAACAATGAAGAAACAGATGGCTATTGGATTCTGTTTCTAAAACACAAAAAGGACATCTAGAGCATAATTGGAATCCCCTTCCCTTAGATTCTCTCGTGTCAGGCAAGTCTTTCTTGCCACTAACCACGAAAAGCACAATACTTTTGTGGGGATCTTAACTTCCCAAATATATTTCTAGGGCCCATGTGGTATTTGCTGATCCAAATTACACAATGTATTATAAGCAGACTTTACTGAAAAAACACCATCTTTGCCAGATATCTAGTAAAGCTTATATTTAGGAACTCGAAATTAATTATAGGTATAGCTGTTAAATTTTTACTTATGTTAGAGGTAAAAACTTCTAATATTTAGTAGTTCAAACTTGACTAAAATTTTGCTTTTTAAATCTTTCTTTATTTGAACTATATTAGAAGTCCTAACATTTAGGGCTTTAAAATCAATTATAATTTGTTAACTTATAGCAATCCTTTCTTTATCGAACTTAATAATCATCCAATTATCAACTCACGGTACGATAAACTAAATTAAAGAGTGTAGCATCAGTTGGCATTAATATGTTGAGCTGAGTTCCTTCTTCTGCTTCTTGTTTTTAAATTGTATAATCGAGAAAAGAAAATATAGAAACATAACACCCTCTTAGTTGTTTCAGTTTAATTGAGTGTTTTTGTTGTTCACTCTTTTTAGTTAAATCTAAACTATGTCTTTTGTTTCAGTTTATGTGATGTTGTTCGACTAGACACATAGATTAAGAGAAAAAGAAAATGGTTAGAGTTGAATCATTTCTTAAAGATAAACTGAAAATTCAAAATTAAGTATTACTAAATATTTGAAGTATGAATCCCTATAGCAAAATGTTTGTTCACATCTTTACCCTTTTAAAATAGAATTCACTCTTGACAAGATAGTCATTTAATTATTTTCTAATATTCAAAATTTTAAATTAAGTAAATTTTATGTAATAAATCCTTCATTAGTTGAAATTATAGAAAATTTCAATATTTAGAAATATAAAAGCGAACAAGATTTTACCTTTTAAGAAATAATTACAAGTTGAATAAAATTGTACTTATAATGCAAGGCAACTTTATGTTTAGGACTTTTAAAAATACAATTATAAAAATGAGCAGCATGGTGCACAAAGCAACCCGCGTTAATAGGGTCTAGGCTAGGATTGCATTCCAAGGAGTGTGATATTAACAACCTACCCTAGTGTAGGCATTAGTAATTGTTTCCACTAATTTTGACAAGTCTTTCTTAGTTTGGTGGCATAACAATTCCTTAACGACTAGTTACAAATAAATTAACACATTTGTGAGGTGATATCAGTTCATTGATGTCAATTTATTAATGCCAAAATAAGCCAATAATGAATTACAATACGATTTTGTAGTGGTAAATTGCTTAAAAGAATAACTATACTATATCTTAATCTACTATACAATTTTGTATGACAATGCGTCTTCGTAATGCTAATATTTATTTAATCTGTTAATAATATAGTAATACAAATTGTAATGATTAACATGAAATACACATAACGCATGCATTTAAGTGCTTATGTAAACCGTTCATCAAATGCTATTTCTAAGATGTTTTTGTTGAAGCAAGTATAAGAACATACCGAAAGAAGTTTCACTAAAGCAAATCTAACTTTTAAAAATGATAATATATCCGTTTGAAATTTATGATTCTCTTTTTTAGTTATTATATTGTACACAAATACATCTTGTAAATGTTAGGTATTTTATTTTTAAAATTTTATTCTTATTAATATATGAGGGAAGCACGTGATGCACATACATTAATACTAGTTTGAAAAAAAAGTAAAACATCAAAAAAGTTAGTTAATTGATTCCAAATTTGCAATATTGCATCCTCAAAATATGCAACTAACACATGACTTCTATTTTATTTCAGAGGAACAAATGTGACTAGATCAGGATCTGTTCAAGACCTTTTCAGCGGTTAATAGCCAATGTATCGCTTTTGATCGGTTTGTTGGTTGGGGGCATTGATAAAGTAGGGATAATCCATTAGGGTTTAAGGAGAGAATTTGAAGAGGTAAAAGGAAGAAAGACAGAATGAATGAGGGGAAGTGTGTTCCTCGGATATAATAAAATAGAAGTCATGTGTTGTTTGTAGTTTGGTTGTTCTCGAAAAAAATATCTGCAAACAACACATTACTTTTAGTTATTTTAGTGGAACACATGTTTGTAATTTTTTTTCTCAAAAAGAAAAAAATGCTAACATGTGACTTCTATTTTATTATAGAGGAACATACTTCTTCTTACTCATTTTGCCTTTCTTCCTTTTTCCCTTCATATCTCTCCTAAAACCCTAATGGTTTATCCCTACTTCATCAATGACCCCCTAACAAGCCGATACATTGGCTATTAACCTCCAAAAAACTCTTAAAAAATCGTGATCTAATGACATTTGTTCTTTGGAGATAAAATAAAGTCATGTGTTATTTGCAGATTTTAAGGATGCAATATTGCACATTTGGAATCAATTCATTAACCTTTTTCAGTTTTCTTCTTCTTTTTAACTAGTCTAAATATATGCACGATCCCCTCGTAATTAATAAGAGTAGACTTTTAAAAATAAATAATATTTAACAGATGTTTTGTGTACAATATAAGAATTTAAAAAGAGAATTATAAATTTCTAATTAATAAGTGATTATATTTAAGAGTTCGATCTGGTTTAGTGGTTCTTCTTTCAGTATGTTCTAATACTTGCTTCAACAAATGTATCATACAAATAACATTTGATTGTGTAAATATGGATCTTAGGCTTAACTCAACCCCTAAAGCTAGCTAGCTCACGAGGAGAGGTTTGTCCAAATCCATAAAAGGATACCAAATTTCCATTCCTTTAATGATGTATGAATTCTTAACACTTTCCTGCACGCCCAAACCTCGTTATATGGAGTGTGGACACTATAATATGGAGGCCCAACATTGGTGAACAAAGAATTGGAATGTGCTTGGCTCTGATACCATGTAAAGATGGATCTTGGGCCTAACTCAACCCAAAAACTAGCTAATGAATGGAAGTTTGTCCAAGTCATATGAGAATACCAAATTCCCATCCCTTTTTCGATGTGGAATTTCTTAACAGATTGAAAGGTAGAAAAGTCTTTCACTTTTACATAAACACATACATGCATTATATTTGTATTTTTCGTTAATTATTACGAAATTTGTATCACTATTATTAACAATTAAAATTTCCAACTCCAACTTGGAGTTTTTTTTTTTGGGAGATAAAGGTAACTGTGTATTCAGAAAAGGCTCATCATCAAAGAAATGATGAGCATAGGTCACTTACAAATCTCGCCAGAGCATATCAAACTACCCTATGGGAGATTACAACTCACCTATAAAGTCAGCAAAAAGTTTTATATCCCCCATCATATCTTGTTTACACCAAAAGTACAAAAGACTAAGACAGTTCATTCTAATTTTCTGGATGTTGTTTTTCTTATCCACAAAGCATCTTCCATTCCTTTCTTTCCATAGGGACCACCAGATGCAGGCTGAGATTAATTCCCACCAATTTCATTAGACTCCCTTCTTCTTATCATCTTCCAGCTGTAGAGCAAGTCCTTAATGGACTTTGGAATTACCCAACATACACCAAGAAGACCAAGAAACATGTTCCACAAGCTTGTAGCTACTTTGCAATGAAGGAATAAATGACTATTAACTTCTGCATCTTCATCACACACAAAGCATCTTGAGCATAATTGTCTGCCTTTCTTTTGAAGCACTTCATGTGTTAAGCAGGCCCTTTTGCACACTAACCAAGCAAAACATGAGTCTTCAATGGTATTTTTTTCTTCCATGTTAACTTCCATGGCCAGTTCCTGACCTGTGTTTGGCCAATATTGTATCTGCAGTACCATGACTTTACTGTAAACACACCTTTGCTTTGCCATCTCCAAATAGGCTTATCAGATTCAGTAAAGGTGCCTGGGAAGGCATTGAGGATCTGAAAAAGATTGACGACCCTCTCGATTTCCCAATCATTGAAAGCTTTCCTGAATATGAGATTCCAACCTTGACGGCTCCATAGCTGTGAGATTGTGACCTTGTTTTGAGTGGTGAGCATAAACAGGTCTGGGAAGAGTGATTGCAGGCTTTCATCCCCAATACAATGTTCATTCCAAAAATCAATTTTCCTACCATTTCCCACCTCTAGTGAGATGTTGCCTTTGAATTAGGCCATAATCTTCTAATAGTCTTCCACACACTGCATCCAAAAGTTCCAAGAGCCTCCTCAGTAATCCAATGGCTTTGTAGTCGATACTTCATTGTGATGACTCTTTTCCAGTGCGACTGATCTTCAATGCAGAATCTTCACAACTATTTTTGAAGGAGACAATTGGTTGGATGATTGAGCTTTTTTATTCCCAACCCCTCCCTTGTTTCCTGCTAAGAGTAAGAGTATCCCACTTAACTAGGTGGTAACTTTTGTGCTCTTTATTTCCATTCCATAGGAAAGACCTCCTGAGTTGATTGATCTTTATGACAATGTCCTTTGGAATAGGGAATAGTTGATTCCCAAATCTGGACAAGTGCTTCAAATCTATTTTCCAACTCCATCTTCATAAATTCCAAAATAGTGCTATATTCTCTCCTTTGCAAAAAGTATAACCGAACATAACCATCTTCAACTCTTAACTTTATAAATTCCAAATAAAGTGAAAAATATTTGAACCAATGGCCAAATGCCTATTAAATTATATTAATTGAAAACTAATCCATGAATCATAGTATTTAAGTGGAGAAAGATAAAACAATGGATCTAGGTTTATATTGGATAATGGGGAGTTCTGGATCATCCCAAAGTTCTGGGGTTTTGTCCTATGCCACTGTTCTTGAAGAGTTCCAGACAATGAGCCGAAACTAGAAATATGAGAAATTGTGTGCTGCAGCAGTCTAAAGACAAAATCGAATCTATGAAGGCAAGACAGACAAGGACTTCGTTTCAGAAGGTGATGAACAATGTATTGAGGCGATCGATGCACTCAATTTTGGGTTTGCTCTCCATATTTCAGGGATGAGAAAGCAAGCTTTGACCAGAAGATTGTGTTTACACAAAGGTGAAAAGTGAAAACAAGCACTGTTCTCTTCACACATTAATGATTGATGCAGATGGAGATCTCTGCCAAAAATGATGGAAGGTTTCTGGTAGAGATGAGGCCCTTTAGTTGCATTTACTGGGCAGGGAGACTTCTGTTTTGTTAAGTGGTTGTGCATCTATAAGGGCTTTGGATTTTCTACACTCTTTTGCCTAATCAGGTGATGGGTGATGAGAAGAGAACATTTTAGGTTCACATATGGGAAGACATTTAGTCAATGTCAGCATCAGAAAGGGCTCTGTTATATTTGAAGTGGTTTTAGATATTGGAGCTGATGGTGGGAATGTCAGTTTGGGGAGCAAGAAGACCATGGACGACAGCTGAATATGTGACCATAAAATTTATTATTGAGGTTAGTCTTGAAGGCTCTCAATCAGATACCTCAATCTCCACCATTCACTTTGGTGGAAGAAGGCACAACTTCAAGGATGTGATGGACGGGCTTGAGTTTCACCATGTGCAAAAAGCTTGTCCAGGTTAGTATCCCTTCGTTCTTGCTATTATGTTCTCATTTAAATTGGTTTATCTAGCTATCAAGTATCTATAGATGATTAGAGCTCTTGATTATGTATAAGAAGCAATGTTCATGGCTTGTGTGGTATACATACATGCTGCCATATAGGTATCGAGTAGGACTGGACATAGTTTGAGCCAAACCAAAATCTGAGTTCTTTGGATTTTCGAAATACATATTAGATTTTGGATTTGTGTCCGGAAATCCTATTTTTTTTTACCTTATGTTTTGTTTTGTTTTTGAGAATGGTCACTTGAGTATTAAAGAAAAAAGCACTAGAATAGTGCCAAAACCATAAGTACAGAGAGAAAGGATAGCAGATCCAACAATGAAATCCTAACCGTCATAGACCAAAAATGAAAAAGAGGAAAGCAGTTCATCTTTAAATTCTGTAAAGAGCTACTTCTTCCTTCAAAAATTCTTAAATTTCTTTCTGTCCACCATATACAAGCAGAAACCAATCCCCATCATTTCTGTTGTCTGACTACACCCTGTTGCAATTCCAACTCCTTAGCAGATCTCTTGTGTTGGAAGGCATACACTATTAGAGTTCCACAATGTAAAGATAAAGTTGGCACAGAAGGCTAGTGACAAAACAATGAAGAAACAGATGGCCATTGGACTCTCTTTCTAAACCACAAAAAGGACATGTAGAGTTCAATTGGAATACGCTTCTCCTCACATTCTCGTGTTAGGCAAGCTTCTCTTTCCACTAACCAGGAAAAGCTCAACTCTATTGTGGGAACATTGGCCTTCCAAATATATCTCCTGGGCCACTGTAGTATTTGCTGGTCCAAAGTACTCAACGTATGATAAGCAGACTTTACTGGAAAAACACCATCTTTGCCGGTGTCCAGTAAAGCTTAAATTTAGGAACTTGGAATCAATTATGGTTACAACTATTAAATCTTTACTCATTTGTGTGAGGTAAGGAAAATTTGGGCGCTAGATTTGGATTTGATCGGGTACCTTTTTTACCCAAATCTTGTTGTTGCATTTCAAGAAGAAGACATGGTTGTTAAAACTCAAGAAGAGAGAAAAGTCAAGATTGAAGAGAATACACTTGAAAAAAAGGAAAAATGAAGAAGATGAAGATAGGGTACCACCTTTAGGCGGGGGCAGGTATGGGTTATTGGGTGGATCCGTATCCTGAATTGAGATTAATTAATTAGGTTAATTTTAATAATAGCTAGTAGAAACGTGCCACGTAATAAATGAATTTCTTAATTTTGTTTTTGAAGTGTGCCCTTAAAATAAGGGTAGTTTAGAGCCAATAGATTGACATTTAAGGCATTTTGAGTCAAAAGGTTAATGAATTGTATTTTTATACCAAATTCAATAGTTTAAGGGTATTTTAGGCCCTGATTCGATTCTTATATTGTACACAAACACATCTTCTAAATATTATTTATGTTATTTTAAAAAATCTATTATTCTTATTTATACGAGGGATGTGCGCGAGATGCGTATATAGGACTAGTTAAAAAAGGAAAAACTCGAAAAGGTTAGTGAATTGATTGCAAATTTGCAATATGACATCCCCAAAATCTGCAAACAACACGTGGCTTTCTATTTCATTTTGGAGGAACACACTTCCTCTCATTTATTTCGCCATTCTTCCTTCCTCTCATTTATTCCGCTCTCCTTCCTTCTTCCTCTCATTTATTCCACCTTTCTTCTTCTTCATTTTCTCCGCCTTTCTTCCTCTTTATCTTTCTCCACCTTTCTTCCTTTTTCCTCCTCATTTTCACCGCCTTTCTTCCTTCTTCCTCCTCATTTTCTCCACCCTTCTCCTTCTTCCTCTTCATTTTCTCCGCCTTTCTCCTTTTTCCTCTTCATTTTCTCCACCTTTCTTCCTTCGTCCTTCTTCTTCATTCTCTTCTAAAGCCCTAAAATGGAACATCCTTTCTTCATCAACAGTGACCCTCCAATCAATCGATCAAAAGCTTTCCGTTTTCTATCAATCGCTGAAAATCTCTTATCAAATCGTGACCTAGTTGGTAGCAAGTCATTCGCGACCCGGGCCCTTGAATCCGACCCGACATATGTACATGTTACCAACCAAATACTCAGCATCGTTGATACTTTGAGTGCCGGCGACAGACTTATTAACAATCATCACTTTGACTACTACTCTATCCTCCAAATCCCTTCTAACCAAACCCAAAATGCCGATTTCATCGCCGAACAGTATCGCCGGCTTAAGTTTCTTCTGAATCCTCAGACCAACACTTTTCCATTTACTGGTCAGGCTTTCCATCTTGTCATTGATGCATTCACAGTTCTTTCTGACCCCTTGAGAAAAAGTATGTATGATAAGGAGCTGGGTCTCCTCCGTAACCCTTACCAAGTTGTTGCTTCTACATCTATCCCTGTGCATCAGAGTGTTTATCCTTCAATGCCCAGTCCGAATGCAGACCTAATGTTTGTGAATTTGTTTACTCAAGATCAAGGGCCACATGCTGCTGGAGTAAGCTTCAGTAGAAACCCACAAGCTGGAATGTCTATGCCAGTGACATTTCTGACTCATGAACAAGAAACTATGACCTCTATGGAAAGCTTGCCCATTGAGCAGCAACTGCAACAACCTGAAACATTTCTGAAACAAAAGACACAACCCGTGACTCCCATTTCATTTTCAAACACAGATGAACAACCTACCTCATCCTTTTCTTTGAACCAGCCACAGCTGTTAACCTCTAAGAGAAGCTTTAATAGAGAAAACCCACCATTTGGTACCGGGGTGAGCTCGACACAAGGGCGAGAAGCAGTGGTTTGTGCAGAGCAACATGGGAATCAACAGCCCCTGGAGAGAAATGAGAATGTGGTTGGGAACAATGCAAATAAGTCTGCAAGTACTGGTGACAATGTGAAGGAGAAAGAAGGGAATGTAGATGCATCAGGTAAGAGTATACCCAGTTTCTGGACTGCATGTCCTTATTGTCTCTTTATGTATGAGTACTCAGTGGAGTATACTCATTGTACTTTAAGGTGTCCAAATTGTAAGAAGGGTTTTCAAGCTGTACCAATTGCGTCTCCTCCTCCAATTATTGATGGAAAAATAAATAACTTTTGTAATTGGGGATTTATGCCTTTTGGATTATCCTTGGAGGATTTTAATAGAAATATAGGTAACGCTTCGAGCTGGTCTCCGTTTTCGCCCATGTTTACCTGTCCGCTATTTGAGTGGCATGGAGGGAGTAATGTGAACAATCAGTCTGTTGGAGGACAGAGTAATGTGAATAATCTTGGTAGTTCGCATAATGCTGGTGGATCGAAAAGTGGGGGTGGACGAAAGCATTTTTCTCCCATAATATGTATTGATGATGATGCGTTGGTTGAGGCATCACAGTCAGATGAGGAGTCAAATGTGGATTGGAATCGGAATAAAGAGAGGAAGAAAGCAAAGAATGGGAAGCGGAAGTGTGCAAGGAAAAAAACCCCAAGTAAAAATGCCAAGAAACAGCAAGCTGATTAAGGAAAAAACTGTTGAAGGGAATAATGATGTCAATTTGCAATATGGTTTAGTAATTCAAGGTGGCGTAGAAATACCCATGCTGTAACAGTGAGTCAAGTAACAGAGGTGTCGTAAGTAAGGCAATAAGGCACCTTGTTGGGTTGCAAAACACTTAGGAATGTAAATTTGAATGTGTAGTTCAGTAATGAGGTTGAAGAGCCTATAATTCAGATGGGCCAAGAAAATGAAGCAGGAGAAGGAGAGGGTGATACTGTTGATGTAGTTGGGTTTTTTAAAGGTCTTGATGAGTTCCGTAGCAGTCTTCCTATACTTAAAGCTGAGGATGGTGATAAGGTGGAGGCTGCCTGTTATAACTCCTTAGTCTCCCAACAGTTTACAGTAGTAGCTATTTGCTTGTAGCTCATTTTAGTAGTAGTAAGTCTTTATTGTTGTTAGCAGTTTCTCATTCCAGTAATGTTAGGAAGTAATGTCCTAGTTTCTAGGGGTAGTTATCTTATAAATATTGTATTTGAACTCTATGTTTATCCTATGAAATCTAAGCAGAAAATTGTTCCATTTTTTGAGTACTTTAATCCAACAGATTGCAGGTTCTCTAACGAACCAGCGCCATAAGCTGTAGGAAGAAAACAACAGATTAAGTCTTGCAGCGTTCCATTACTAGATCCATAACAGGGGACTGTAACACTGCCTAGCAAAGTAAGGCACTTTTTTGTTTGTAGTTGTTCCTTTAATTTTTGTCTGCTGGATGCTGTAGTTAACAATGGTGTAGAGTTACTCCGGCACTTGTGTTGATATTTCTATTGTAATGCCAATATATTTCTATTCTCTTCGGAAGTAGCTTCAGTAATCAGTTTACTGCTTCTATCTCCATGCTCCTTGAGTAATTTTATTATTAGTAATCATAGTTTTTGTTAATATTGCTTAGTTCTTTTCTTCCATTCTAATAAGTTCGTCTTTTCATTTTTTAAGAGATGAAATGGGGCTATCATGGCCTCATTTTCGCACTATGTGATCATTGCAAAACAAAGTTTAATTGCAATTCGAACTCCTGTCTATGTCAAAAGTAGTCATTGCAAGGTGACAACAAAATATCTTTTTCAGTTTAGTTCTGTCCCTTGTTACAGAATGTCACATTGTTATTTTCAACATCTGTATAACTGATCTCTGTCTGGAATGATCTGAAATGCTAAGCACCAATTTACCACAGTAGTCTAGTTTCAAAATTTAGCTCAATACTCTCATTAGAGTGTACTCTTTTTTTAAATATTCATGTTTTGTTTTAGATGTGCTAGGTTGCTTTGATTTTGGATCTCTCATTTATTTGTGATGATGTGTCCATGTTTGATGTTGCTGGTTTTTGATGTTCCTTTTTCATATTCCTATATAAAAAATGTGGATATTAATTTTTCACGAGAATCATCACTTTTTTCGGAATAATTTCATTTTTTTCAAAACCAATGTTTGGTTATAAATTTCCAAATCCAACTTAGAGTTGGATTCCAAATTTGGAATAGTGATCCAAACCTATTTTCCAACTCTTGTCTTCATAAATTTCACAAAAAAAGTGCTCTAATATGTCCTTTGTAAAAAGTATAACCAAACATAACTCCATCTTCGTAAATTGCAATAAAGTGAAAAATCTTCGGGATCTATGACCAAACCCCTACGATATTACAATGCAAAAGTAATCCATGAATCATAGTCATAGAGATAAAGATTTCAATAACATCAATCGCAAGTTTGAGCTCTGTACCAAGAAAATTATGCCTACGATTAGGATTGGTTCTTTCAAGTAATGATGATTGAGTCTTGAGCTATGACGAGATGGAGATAGTGGAAGTAGTTTCTGATCAGGTGGCTGTGACTTTGTCCCATGCAACTGTTCTTGATGAGTCTCAGTCAATGAGGGAGAAAAGTAGAATTGAGAAATTGTGTGCTGCAGCAGGCTAAAGACTAGATAGAATGCTATGAAGGCAAGCCAGACAAGGACTTCGTTTCAGAAGCAATGGAATGAGGCAGACGGTGCACTCAATTTTGTGTTTGCTCTCCATATTTCAAGATGAGAAAGCAAGCTTTTACCAGAAGTTTTTTGTAAACACAATGGTGAAAACACACTTTTCTCTCCATATTGACAGATGTTGTGATAGCAATATCTTCCAAAGATAAGGCCTTCGGATTTTCTACAGTTTTTCTTACTTCTTTGCCTAATCAGGTGATGGGCGATGAGAAGAGAACATTTTATGTTTGTTACATATGGTAGGACATTTGTTAAATGTCAGCATTGGAAAGGGCTCTGTTATATTTGGAGTGGTTTTAGAGACTGGAGCTGATTGTGGGAATGACAGTTTGGGTTACAAGAAAATGATTCACAACAGATGAATATGTGGCCATATAATTATATATTGAGGTTAGTTTTGAAGGCTTTTAATCAGATAGCTCAATCTCCACCATTCATTTGTGTGGAAGAAGGCGTAACTTTCAGGGAGGTGATGAAGGGCTGGAGTTTTAGCATTTGCAAAAAGATTGTCCAGGTTAGAATACATGCTGTTGTTTTCCCGATTGACCTTGTCATTATGTTCTTATTTAAATTGGTTTATATAGCTAACAAGTATCTGTTGATGACTGTTGTCTTGATCATGTATAAGTACTGTTCATGGCTTGTGTGATATACATACATGCTGCCATGTAGGTCTGAAATTCAATTTGTTTGGATTTTCGGATACCGATTGATTTTGGATTTAACTTCTAAAATATTCAGATTTTAGATTTCTGACTTTGGATTTTCGGATCTGAAAATCTAGTTTTTTAATACCTTATATTTATCCTTGCATATTAGACAAGCCCATGTACCCAATATAAAGTCCAGTGCCCTACTAAATCAGTCATTGTACCTTATTATGCTAATGGATAGTGCAAACTGAGTTTTATTCACCGTGACTGTGCTTTTTATTCTTATTTGACGAGTTGTGGGTTTTGGCACTGGGTCCTTATGGAAGCATGTTAATTGATATTTAAATCACATAGAACATATAAGTATTGAGTAATGTTGAATTGAATATGAACTGTTAGTAGTATGATCTATCTATACATGATTTTACTTTGTTAAGATTCGAAATTTCTTTTATAGTGGTTTCATTGTTTGAATGAATATTCTATTTGGATGATTGTCGTGTGAATGAGAAATCATTAAAGACAATGTGACATGAATACTTTACTAGGATGTTTATTTTTGCAAAAAGAAGCTTCACTTACAATCTCAACACCAAAATCTGCAATAATCAAACGGTGTAATCTGAAACTGGACTTGCGCAAACTGATCAATCAAACTTAGTTGGTATGATCACCTACCCAGTATCTTACCCCCCCCCCCCCCACAACCACAACCACCACCAAAAAAAAAAAAAAAGAAGAGGAAGAGGAACTTGATATAAATGAAAATTTGACTTCCCTCTTTTCTTATCGACCATTACTTCGTTGAAAGATCTCAGAATAAATGCAGCTTGAGGACTTCTTTTTTTTTCAAGCAGGAGATGGTTCTTTAATTACTGTTCATCTGTAAATCTTTAGGTAAAGAAGTCTCTAGGATGCAATATGAGGTTTTAAAAAAGAAGAAATATCAGGAAAAGACGATTCCAAAAAAAAAGAAATATCAGGAAAAGAATAAAAAAATACTAAAGGGATGAAAAGCAAGCAAGAAAGCTTATGAACTAAAATTGAAAGATTGATATATTTCACTGCAGTCAAAGGATACAATTTTTAATAAAAGTACTCACGTCTAAAATATAAATAAGCAAAAGATGTGCTGAAAATACCAAATTCATGAAGTCTAGAAAATACTCTTTACTCAAAATTCAAATAGAAATCAACTCCTAACTAAAAGGGATAACTAGTTGACTAGGTCTATCTTAATAAATTACTGCACTAAAAACTTTGCAATTCTAAAGTAAATATTCAACACTCCTTGCTTTAGGAGCTGCAAAATTTTGGTCTTCTATCGTGAGATCTCCTCACTTGATAACTGAAAGTGACTTGGTGAATAAATGTGCAGTTTGATATTTGGCCTTGTACTGAACAAAATTCACTTATCATCTTGAATGCAACCCTTGACTACTAAATCTTTTTGGCATGTCTTCCTGATTCGTTTGCATCTTGAATTTAAACTTACCCATTTTATTTTCATGAAACATAGATAACTCCTCCATTGCTTCAATTTCTTTAGGAACATTGGAAGATCCTTCAAAATTAGCTGGTTCACATTTTGCTTGTGCTTTTCATATGGAAGATCATCTTCTAATTTTCCAGCCTATGATCATTTTCATGTTCTACAGCAACACTTTTGTGTTTCTGATTGTAAGTATTACTGGAATATGTCCTGAGTATTCCTGTGTTTATAATACAACTTACCTTTTCTCAAAAAAAAAAAGAACATCTTTCAGTGGATCAAATGAGAAATGTTTACCTATCATCTTGATGTTTAAAACTTTTTTTTTCAACACCATCATTGATGAAAATGTTTATCTTCAAAGGATACTTTGTATCCTATTTCTATCAACTTACAAATACTCAACAAATTCTGATCAATATCTACATAAGAACATCTGAAATTGCCTTGTTACCTGAACTTGTTTTGATGACAACCATTCCTTTTCCTTCGACAAAAATCTGGTCACTGTTTCCGATCCTTACTTTGGATATTTCAGTAGGCTTTAATTTTTTAAACACACTCTTGTCATAAGTCGTGTATTTAGAGCAACTGCTATCAATCGACCAAAAATTTGATGAAATCTTACTTGAGGTACATGTTGCAACAAAAAGATTGTCGTCTTTTTTTTTTCATTGACCACACATGCATTTGCTTCATGGTTCTCAAATTTGTTTTCGCAAACCACTGCTTCATAGCCTAGTTGATTGTACTTGCTGCATTGGCGTCTGCCTTCTCCAACTTCTGTATGGTGGATTCATTTTTCTGCCATGCCCACAAGGTGGGTAATTTTTCAAATTTTTACCCCTGCTTTGAGTTTTATGGCTGACTGCTAAGGCTCCTTCAACCATAATATCTTGCCTCACAAAGTCTCTTTTGCTCCTGTGCCGGAAAAGAATTTAACAACTCTGCCAAGGTAATCTTGGACAGATCTTCGTGTATTTCCTAGGTAGTTAGTTATACATGCTTCATATCTTTCGGGGGGTGTAACAGAAAAATTTTCAACAATTCTTGAATCTTTAAATTCAGTGCCTTGTAGTCTTATTTTGTTAACAATGCCAAGCAATTTGTCCAAGTATTCCTTGACTATCTCAAGGTCTTTCATTCTCTGCAGCTCGAACTCACTTATTTAATTCAGTACATACTTGCATTCCTTGAATTCCTTCATCTCCAGCATATTCTTTCCGGTTAATCATTTCTTTTGGTGATGTGAGGGACATAATTCTTGTGAAAATAGTTGTTGAAACAGCAGCAAATAGAGTTGCTTTTGCATTATTTGGCAGCGAATTGTCTCAACTAAGGCTTGAACTGATGGAAATAAATCACCCAGTGTTTTTGCTTCCACTGGGTTTTGCCCACGAGACCTTGTGATTCTCAACACGCTTCACGGCCCTTGAATGCAAAAGATGTACACTAGATGTTAGTTAGCTTCATTTAGTTCCTAATGTGAAACTAGATACAAGTATCTTCATGCAAAATGTCACCTGGAATATGTAGCGCTCATATCTGCTTGCATCAGATGTGGCGTGAGAGGGAGAGAGAGAAAGGGTAAAGGATTGGCTATATATGAGAATGAAAGATGTAAGGATGCAGCTAAAGATGTTGCCTGCCTACATTTATCTGAGCTCAAGGCGTTTAGTCTTTGCTGGTTTGTGGCAGTGACCTTGTATCTCTTAAACTAAATCCAAAGTGAGCAGGGAAAGCTTAGGATGTCTTCTTCGGGTCAAAAAAGGTTCCGGATTTCTTCTCTTTACAATGATACACTACTCATCATGTGTTTCAGATATTCTCCGTCACTCCCTTTTTATCATATATAATCTCCAACACAATTGGTACTCCTTTCAGCCTTTGGCTTCTGCCGACAGCACTGCTACATGTTGTCGTTTACCTTCTTATTCTTAACATTGGGAACTTCAGTGTTTTGGGATTTAAGTTGTATTTGCTTTCATTGAATGAACCTTTAAAATAAAGGAGTGCATTCAGTATGACTCCATGCTCTCTGTCAAGGCAAGACCCTATAAACAAATCCGATCTGTCGATTGTTTTCATGGTGTGACTAGTTTCCTTGCCTCTTGCTATTTGAAGTGGTAAGTTGGTTTGTGAAAGTGATGAAATAATAGCCTGGTTACCATATTGCTTACTCTGACCTGTGTTTTTCTTTTTTTGCATAAAATTTTCAGATGACAGGACCATAGGCAAGTGATGACACTCATTCTGATTTCAAAAACAGTCATCTTTTAGGAAAGACATGTTTGAATATAGAGACCCTTTGGAGCAACCAATTTCCATCACAATGTTCAGAAGCCTTTGTGTAGTCCTTGTTGATCGTCATATATTATTATAAGTGGAAAGATTCAAACTGAAAAGTTGAATTATCATTTTGTTTGTCTATTAAATTAATGAACGAGTACATTGATCTTATTTTTTATTCGTAATCATAAATTTCATAATGGAAGAATTTGATAAGTTATGATATAGAAAGTCATTCATCACTTTAATGTAGAATTCATGTAGTTTACAAAGATGGAAGCTCACAATCGGAAATTAAATTAAGGAAACTGCACGATTCAGCATGAAAAGATAAGAGAGTTAGAAGTTGCAAGTGAGGATAATTGAAAAAATGTTGAAATCAGAAGAAGATATAATAGCGGAAAAAAAAGAGAGTAAATTTAATACATATGTAATATTGAACAATTAACAATTTCATGTTGATATGTTGTCTCTAACAATACTGAAGTTTAATTTTCTTTCTCCATTATAAACATTTTCTTCTATGAAGCATTTAGATTAGTATGAGTGTTGGACTTGAAGAATAGTTATCAATTTAAGGTATATGTAGAAATTTTCTAATTGTGCATTTAAATGAGAAACATTAATTATTTTTGTTATTCATTTTTGCACATAGTAATTGCATTCTACTTAATGAGAAGAAGAGTTTCATCTTCTACTAATTAATGTTAAAATATTTTATTTTTTTGAAATGTATGACTATTAATTTAATTTCAATATTTTTACTTTATTCTATAAGACGAGAAACATTTTAATGAAGTTAATCATAGGGTAATGTGTCTGCATATTTGTTTTTGCTATTTTATTTTGTCTTTCAAAATAAATATAGAATTTATATATCAAAATTATAATAAGGGATGACTAAATACAAAAATGTTTCTTCTTATGAGTTAACTATACACTATAAACATTAATTATCTTTTTACTTTTCACATTTTTGTTTTAACTCAAACATAATTATAAAAGAAATTATGTGACTTTTAATAATTCATATTCATCGTTATGGAGTACATTTGCAACGCACGTGCCTATAGTAGGAAGTTTTAAAATGCAAAACTGGATTCTAGTTTACCTCTACACCAAATTATAATATTATAAATTATTTAATTAATGATTAAATAATAAAACATGTATCATATTACAAGTGGAAAGACCTTAAATGAAAGTGACATTATAATCAATCATAATATCATACTCATTTTTTTGCCATTTTTATAAATATTTATTGCCTTAATGACTTAATAGAATGTCTACGCCATAAATAAATTCCACTGACAATATCTAAGAGAAAAGACCAAATAATCACGTAATACCTCATATAATACTAATTCAATTGGTTTGCATTTAAACACGATTAGGAGTTTTATTTTCTTTTGCATTATCTTTTTTCGGGTAGATAAATGTGTAAATAATTATATGTAGACAAATATATCTTAAATCTAATATAAAAATTGTGTGGAATGTTCTATAAAAAAAACACTTTAAAGATAACATATATGCATATTTAATATAAAGTAACTATTATATAAATAGTACTAAAACTACCTTAATTTATATTTCAACTTCAAATATTAAATTAATTTTGAATGTAAGTGTAAGGAGGATTAAAAATATAAGATTAATATTCACGATGCTTAGAAACTTATATTTTTTGATATATTTTAATATTTATTTTTATCATCTAACATATCAATTGAAGTTAGCCAGGCTAAACAATTTACATTGAGAAAAATAAGAAAACGAACTCATCATCTCCGAGTCTCAAAAGTTGAGATCAGTAAGAATTGATACCTAACGAATTTCTCCGTAAACAATGATTTCAATCTAATTGACGTCATAGTAACTCAAATTTTGATAGATTATAAACTCATACATTAAACAAGAAAGAGTAAAAAATACCTTTCAAAATTGGGACTATGACAAGATTTTTGATCCTTTTCTATTTAAAAAATTATAATTCAACTTTAATATACCTATAATCTTTTAGACTTATCATTAAATTTTATTTAGCCACTTTAATTATTATATCGTTTTAGTCAAAATTTATATTTTCAAATTTAAACAAGATCTAGAATAAGCACAAATTTTGAGAAGATTGAGAGAGAGGAAATCATGGCAGCGGCAAACTACTACTCGAAGGACTTTGAATGGGATCAACTTCGGCAAGAGATTGAGAATAATCCTTCTCTTGCTCACCATTTGCTTCCTTTTCCTAATTCTTCGATCAATCAAAATCAACATACCCTTTTGTCTTCTCCACTTTCTTTATGTTCTCCGCAGGAAGATTCTGAAGCATGGAACAACTTCCACACTCGCCATTCCACTGGAAAATTCTTCAAGGTAAGTAATAATTCACTGTTACTTGCTAGTCTGCACTGGAGCTTGTATTTGTGTGTTTTGTTTGTTCCATTGGTTATGACTTGTATGTGTGGATTTTATTTAATGGGGTTGCTAAGAAAAGTAACAGAAACCTGGGATTTAGCTGAAAGATTTGAACTTTAGTAAGTTTAATGGAAAGTGATAGCTTGTTACATGGATCAAGATTTGAAGTTTATGGATTCTGCAACAACCTCGAGTTAATATGCAATAATAACTAGGTTCACAATACAATATTTAGTGGATTAATAGTCGAGGGTCTATTGGAAACAACCTCTCTACCTCACAAAGGTAGGGGTAAGGTTTGTGGACTTATACAAAGTTTGAGCCAAATGCTGTTGGCGTTCCCGTGAACCTGCAACTCACATTCTGGAGCCGCACTGTTGTCATTGATCATTAGTTAGATGTGAAATACTAGTAGCCATGAATGTAGGAAACAATTTGCTGAACTTGGAGTGATGGAAAAAAGAAATTTGATGGTTTGACAGAAGTGATTGACTGTTTGTTGGTACATAACGAAGTATGAAACCTGAACTCGCATTACATTGGACGATTGGATAGCTGACTCAGCATCAAGGTTTTCTTGCAGTCCTAAAGGTCTTGTGCATGTGTTTCAAATGCACACTTCTGACATTTGAAACTCATATAACATCCAATGTGCCTATACCTATGTCAGTGAGGACCTAGACAAAAGAGAGAGAGAGGGAGAGCATAAAATTCTTTTTCTTTGAAGAATTATTTATACTGTGTACTTTTACTGAGGTTGGAGGATATAGTTGTACCAGCAATTGTTCTTCTCAAGATACTATTCTGTGCACAATTTGTTGGCTCAGATTCTCTGAACCGGAGCCTATGTTTTTGTGTGTACTCAGTTCTGTAGCCCAGGTCTATTAATTGGTCCAACACTTGAAAATCTTCATTGTTGAGGTAGTCGGTCTATGATCCTTCTGTTTTTCTTCTCCAAATGTTAGTTGTCTTCTACAAAATCTAAATTTTTTCACAGGATAAACTACAACTACTATGTATGTATTGGTATGAAAACTATGAATTGAGAGTTATGATAGAAGGAGCTATGATATGAGAGGAATGTTATGAGGAGCTATTACATGAAAGATATGATATGAGGAGCTATAGAAAAAGAGGTATTGCACAACTCCAATGACAAAGAGGTACAGTAGGAAGCTTAGAGTAAAAGCTATAATATGGAAACAAAGACAAGGAAACTAAGGTACGAAAGCTGCATGCTGGACTTAGAAAGTGAAAGACTAGAAGGGGAAGTGTCATACTTGAAGGAAACCCAAGAGTTCATTCCCATGACCTCTAGGGGCTGTGTGGATGACCAAAATATGACCTTATTCCCACTCTTATATGGGATGGTCTTAGTGTTACGGAATCGTTTTGCATATTACAACCATGATTTGTTATTTCAAGTAAAGATCCAAGAAAGTATTCATACTAATTTATCGTATCACTTCCACATTTAGAAGTTTCTTCACATTTTGATATTGGGGCTTTTCATCAGTACTAGATTTGAGGTTGGAATATGGCTAACTCCAATGGTTTAAGATTGTGGTCCCACTTAACTTAATGATTCAAATCTCAAGTTTTGGACCATTAAGAAGACCTAGTTCAGAAACGAAGTATATGTACAAATCTAGGGTTTGAAGTTGGGTATCTTGGCCAAGAAGCTACACTTTAATGGTCGACGTTGTATCGCTTGTAGAACATTTCTCTCCTAAGTCCCAGACAAATCTCTCTAGAACAGATCTCTAATAAAAGCATGGTCTCTGTTCGCAATGGCAGACAAATATGCAAATGTTTTCTCTTAGGAAGCTCTATATTCCCTCCCTTTCTCTTTCCAATTCTTCCTTTGACTTGGGCAATGAAGCTTAATCCATGAGGCTACTTAGGTGTCTTACAAATTTTACACACTATAAGTATGCGTTTGAGGTCTAAGTTCCACGGTCTATAGGATTGAAAGCAAACTTTGGCAGCTTTATTACAGGGGTTCAGTCTCAAGTCCAGAGTTGTGATTTCCAAGACATCGAGTATTGGGGTTCTAGTTTCGAGTTTTGTGCTACTTTTAAGATTACTACTGTTAATGTCTCAGATAATTGGCAAAGAATTGTACTTGGTAGATTTTTTGTGGAATCCTTTCTTATACAGTGGTGAAAAACTGGAAGGTGCTAAGGGAAAAAAACCTTGCTGTTTCCGATCATCAAAATGGAAAACAAGAGTGAGGTTTTAGGCTTCCGTCTGTCACAATCCTACGTTACAACTTCAAGAATGAGGTACAACAATGATGCCTATGCTTTTGTATTATAAGAACGTATAGCAACTTTAAGAAGATAATTTCTTGCTAAAAAGGAGACGGAAGTGCAAGGTTTATTTTTTCATATGTCAACAAGAATCAGAGCTGAGGCATCTGCTCATCGCTATTACTTTGGCTGCAAATCTCTACTTTTAAACTCATCTATTATTGCTCAAATGAAATCATCGTTTTATTGTCTTTCAAGACTAGTGGCCATCATTTTCTTGTTTGGGTATTTATTTTTGGTTGCATATTTCAGTTCTTTGATCTTATTGGCAGTTGCAGCAAGAAGAGAAAGCCTTTCCTTGAACTGCTAGAAAAAACTATATTCCACTTTGCATTCTTTCTTTAACATAAGTTCTTCCATGTAGGAGCGTCGGTACTTGCTTAAAGAGTTCCCAGAGCTAGCCTCTTGTGGGGAATGCTGGACAGTTTTGGAGATTGGATGTGGAAATGGTAGTACAGCTCTGGCAATACTTCGGTGAGGAAGAACTTCAGTTTTCTTGTGTGACTTAATTATTTAAACATTTTTTTGCTGAGGAAGTTTACTATCAAATTTCTTCCTGTAAGGTGCATATTGTAAGCCACTAGTCCTATTATTACCTGCTGTTTGCTCCAGTCCTTTGCTTCGGTTACCATGTTATTTGTTGTTGCCACTGATATCTTTCTCTTTTATTTTTTGCATGGTTTCTTCATTACTATATTTTCTCGCCGTACTTGATTTTGATATGTTTTACTTTAGTCGAGGGTCTATTAGAAACACCCTCTCTACCTTCAGGGTAGGGATAAGGCTGCATACACACCACTCTCCCCAGGCTCCACTTGTGGGATTACACTTATCTTGTTGTTGTTGTTGTAGTCATATTTTGATATCTCATAATTAATCATATTGAGTGGAGCTATTTCTAAGTTTTTCATCTTAATTATTTTGTTAAACTTGGAAAGAACCACAAATTTCATGTCCAAACATAAAATATGAGGCTTCTGTGCTCAAATGGATTAGTAGAGTAGAATCACTACTTTCTATTCAATCTCACCTAGAAATAACTCTGCTGACAGACTAGAAATAAGAAGTTAACATGAAATCAGAGCTTTATTGGTTTGGTGGTGATGTAGCTAATTGGACCGTATTTAAAAGCAATGCTTAAGAATCTCCGTTTTTTCTCTAAATAAAGTTCAGGTTTATCTGTTATCATCTCTTTGTTACAGCAAGGTTATCATATTTGTTCACTTGCTGATTGAAAATTTCAATGTTCTATGAACCATATTATTCTGATCTCATTGTTGAAACTATGCTTATCTCTTTAGTGGAAACAAGAGCATCTCTCTGTATGCCTGTGACTGCAGCAAAGAGGCTCTTGAGAGGGCTAAAGAGAATATTGAAGCTGCTGATATAAACTTGGCTAAAGAACGTTTTTACCCATTCCAATGTGATTTTTCTGCAAGTGGATTTCCAAATTGGTTACTCAGCACTTCTTGCCGTGAAAGTTCCTTCCAGAAGCAGAATATGTGCTCCTCAGGTCTGTAAATGTATTGATTCTTCTGCATTTCATAGTATATGCAAGCAGGTGTTTTTCTTAATCGAAGTGTTTTGCTCATGCAGGTGCAGGAAGCTGCAGCAAGCAAGCTTTCCCCGATCCACCGATATCTGCCAAGTACAATAGCTGCCTTGCCGGAGTAGATTTTGTCACCTTAGTATGTATATCCTTAATCAGTCTTTAATCAAGCTCCTTTTTATTCACAGCTGTATTGGTTTCTACAAACATAAAATGTCTAAGTTCATGGATATTTCATTCATAATCTGCCAGATATTTACGCTATCAGCTGTGCCACTTCACAGGATGTCGAGAGCAATCACTGAATGTTTCTCTGTTCTAAAGCCCGGAGGACTGTTGTTATTCAGGGATTATGGTAATAACCAGACCTATGTTTGTATCTTTTGAACGATGGAATCTGTTTAGTTCTTCTCCTTGTATCTGAATTTGAGGAATGTGAAACTCAGGTCTTTATGATATGACCATGCTTCGGTTCGAGCCAGAGCAAAGAGTAGGATACAGGGAGTACATACGTTCTGATGGAACAAGGTCTTACTTTTTTTGCTTGGATAGTGTAAGAGATCTCTTTTGCAGCTCAGGATTCATCGAGGTATTAGTTCCCATGATCTACTTTTTGGAACTACAGACAAGAATTTTGTTTCCATTACCAAAAAACGTTAACATATTTATGAACCTTTTTGCAGCTTGAGCTTGAATATTGCTGTGTCCAGTCAGTGAATCGACGGAATGGGAAGATCATGCGAAGAGTATGGATTCATGGGAAGTTCCAGAAGCCACATGTCCAAGTAGGTCCATAGCCCTGTGGTTTTGATGGGAGAAAATGAGCTTGCAAGCAGCTGAATTAATGTTCCTTGAGCTTAAGAAACTGAAAAAAGAAGAAGATGAACTTCTGTTATTTTATACCCTTAATCGTCCTCCAACAGAGCTAAATCAATGATGCTTAGAAGCGGCACTTTGTCTCGTGAAACATATAAAGTAGTGCTGCTGGAAGTGAAAGATGTGTGTTGTCAATTAAACGGTTTTTTTTTCTTGTCGTTATCAGACATTCAAAATTGGAATAGAATATATTGTCATGCTACATTTATCGTCTGAATGAATTGCTGAGCAGTTTTTTTCCTGCAATCATGCATGCCATCATACAAATGGAGGAGGAAATTTTGAGGATTCATATAGCTGACCCAACTAGTTTAAGGCTTGGTAATTGTTGTATGTCATATCATTATTCACTTTGCAACAATTATTTCAGAACTAAAAATCACTTGCTAAGTTCTGGCTGTGCAGAACCAAACAGGCTGACAGCAAAGCTCTTGTGAGCTACTCATTGTTTCTGAAGAATTTTGTTCTTCATGTCTTCTATGAATTGAGTGAGATTCTTACCTGAATATCCCTCATCAGAAAGTGCTTTCTGAAGGATCATCTTGCAAGTTCGTTGGTGTAATCTGATGCTGGTAGCAGGTTTGTTGAAATTATTCTCTTGGTGAAGCTTGTGGAGAGTGGGCCAATTGCATAGTAGGGTTGCTTCTCTTGCAAGGCCGAGATAGGTGAAGACTCTAGCTCTTGCACTGTATTACCGATGACAAAGTCTGCTTTCTGTGCATCTTCAAGACACTTGAACACAAAACGGTGCATCACGGTGCTTGGATCAGCATCTTGAATATATGAAGGTAAATCTGCTGGTTCAATGGCTTGTACTCCAGGTATGTATCTAATGGCGTCTTCACACTTATCTGGACAAAATTATTACTCATCAGCTAATTGATTATGTAATGCAGGCTGTGATCAGACAGTAATAGCTTCAAGATATTTGGTTCATACCATGACACCCAAAGTGGCCATTACTCTTGAGCAGGTCCATGTGATAGTAGACTGTAAGCACTGTTGCTGGTTCAGTCCAAAATGAAACATTGACAAGATTATATTTCTTGGCGATCGTTGATCCCCAAACGTGGAAACTATCAGCTATTATACAAGAAATTGGCGGGTTTGGTTTTGAGAGGACTAGATTTTCAATGAAGTCATCCACATGAGCTTGGAAAACATGAACGAAACCTTCCACAAATTGGCTTGCATTGGCACTCCAATCGAAACTCAGTGGAAATCCATCACTATTTTGGCATATCGAATGTCAAGACCACATTTCTGTCCGTGGGAAAAAAGGTTGTCGTCATCTTTAAGTGACTGAGCTTTAGCTATCTGCTGATGAGTTGATTCTGTGTTGACAAAGGTGATGGTAAAACCTTTTGAGGCGAGCTTCATGGCAAGATGTGTGAATGGAGTTATATGGCCTTGAAGAGGAAGTGGTATGAGTACTTCATGTGGCTGTAGGTGTTCTTTCAGTTCCATTTAGTCCCAAAAATGTAGGAGATGGTTGCCTTTTTTGAGAAAAGTTAAGTGTATGATTGTTAATATTGTGTGTTTATGTAAGAGCTTGTAGCTGCATTTATTTGAATTTGGAGCCTTTTATATGTCATTCCTTAGGTATTTAAAGATAGTGAGATAGACATGTCTTTTGTTTGGTGTGAATCCCGGCTCGTGGCTCACAGTTGTTCTGTATTCATTTGCTTGATGTAAATACTCATTGCAGGTAAATTTTTCGGTTAATCTATTCTCAAAGAAATTGGACTTGCTAAGAGGTTGTTGTGTCATCATAGACATAGAGAAGTGTGCCTTTCCAATAATTGGTTAATTGTAATGGTGTGGTCCATTTCTTTCAAATTCAAATTTGTTCTTCTTCTTTTCTTTATGTTGGGCTGGGAATAATATGTTACGTGGATAGTATAGTTTTGCTTGAAATTTCTTTTACCTAAGTCAGAGTAAGAAAAATTATCTACCTTTACCCGTCTACAATATTCGCCCTTAAGAAATTACACAACATAATTTTTTACGTAGATCTTATCCCTACCTCGCTACATACCAATAAGAATTTATTCTTGAACGAAATTTTATTTTATCTATTCCCAAATCACAATTTTGCTTTGCTATCCCATCCAGCGGAGTAGGATTACTAACACCCCTTTGAAGGCTTAGATCTGACAATTAGAGCGTAAACAATATAATATGGGAAATCAATATTGAACGAAAGAAGAATTGAATTCATATCAACACTAATGCACTCGAACCATAAAAAACTTTAAAAGTTACCAACACTTACGCGAGAGTAGTGCTAGTAGTATTAGGAGGGTGGCCCTCTAGGAAATTTTTGTGTTGCTTGTTAAGATATATGACGTGCCTCCTTATATGGTCTTTGACAATTCTCACCTTCTGATTTAGCTTTGAATATTGATTTAAGTTTTTTTTCAAGGAAAATGAATCTCTACTATCTATTCAAATCTCAACTAGAAACAACAGTGCTGATGGACTACTAATAAGAAGTAAAATGAATTTTTGTGATGATATAATTACTTAACCTTAGTTAAGACTTGAAAGCAATGCTGAACTACTTGTTCCCTTGCAGTTGCTAATTGAGTATTTCAATGTTATATGTGATTCAGAACCATATTACTCCATCCGTTTCCATTTGTTAGTCGAAATATTTTGATCATGCAGATATAAGAAGCTGCAGTAAGGAGATCTCCTTGAATATGTCCATATTCAAGGCTCCTATTGCTGTATTTGTTTCAGCAGATGTCTTAAGTATAATGGCTATTTTATTTGTAATCTGACAGGTACTTAAGCTATCAGTAGTCACTTTGCAGGATGCTGAGAGCAATCACAGAATGGTTCTTCATTCTAAAGCCCGGAGTCCTGTTATGTTATTTGCGGATTATGGTAATCACCTGACTTAAGTTTTAGACATTACTTGCTGAACATTGTTAATGTATCTTTTTCGTAAAATATACGAAATGGTGCTGAAGTTGTATAATGAGGGATGAACAAAATTCACAAGATGGTGATATTCTTTGTTAGCTTAAGCTTAGGGGATGTTCTAAGGCCAGGTCACAGTATGAAGGTGCAGCTTGTTTTGAGAAGCTTACCAAGAGGGTGAAATATCGTTGTTCCTGTAGTGGAATAGAATTTAATACATGAAGGCTGGAAGTAAAGGATCTGTGTTGTCAAATAAACTTTTCACCTTCTCATTGTCATCTGGTCAATGAGGAGGATTCATATAACTGACCGCAACTTGTTTTGGACTGAGACGTAGTTACTGTTGTCATTATCAGACGTAGATATTTTACGTGAGTATACAAAACAATTATACTGACATGCTATATAGACGTTGAACTCTCGCAATTATGCCATGTCATTATTCAACTGGTTCAAATGGAACAGGACAAGCAAGGATATATATAGCTGACCTTACTAGTTTAAGGCATAACATTAATTGTCTGTTATGCCATTATTCACTCTGAAACCTTATAGAACTAATACCTCACTTGCTAAGCTACTTCATGAAAAAAAATACATTAAAATACATCAATTGCTATGTTTTGGCATAACAGAACGGTAATTGGTTAGTGAGAATGTGATAAGAAGCTCAATTTTTCTGAAGAATCTTGTTCTTCATGTCTTGTATGAATTGGTTGAGGTTCTTATCTGAAGACCCCTCATCAGAAAGTGCATTTTGAAGTAGCATCTTTGTTTTATCGATATTCTTCCTCGATTCATCTGATCTATTCATTATCTTTCCAATATTCTCCGCTACTACCTCCCTCCTGATCAATCCTCTAGTGCAAAGGTTCACACCGATCCTCCAATCATCAACCACTAATTTCCTGTTAGTAAGTTGATCCCCGATAACAGGAAAGCACACCATTGGAACTTTACACAATATGCTCTCCAAGATTGAATTCCACCCACAATGAGTCAAAAACCCTCCGACTGCTGGATGTGATAGTACTGCTAGTTGAGAGCACCACGGCACAACCAATCCTCTATCTGCAGTTTCTTCCTCAAATCCGAGAGGCAAAATGTTTCTTTCTCCAGACACTAAGATATTGTGACGTAGCACCCAAATGAAACTCACTTTACTTATCAGAATGCCTTGTGCTATTTCCAGAATATCCTGTTTGCTTAAATTAACGAGACTACCAAATGAGATGTATAACACTGTACCATCTTGTCTGTTATTGAGCCAGTTGGTGTAATCTGTTGTCGGTAGCAGGTTCGTTGAAATTGTTTTCTTGGTAAAGTTTGTGGGACAGAGTGGCCCAATTGCATAGAATGGTTGCTGCTCTTGTAAGGCCGAGATAGTTGAAGACTCTAGCTCTTGTACCGTGTTACCAATGACAATGTCCGCTTTCTGTGCATCTTCAATACACTTGAACACATATTTAATATCGTTTGGATCAGCATCTTGACAATATGAAGGTAAATCCTCTGGTTTAATGGCTTGAATTCCTGGTATGTAACTTATGGTGTCGTCGTACTTATCTAGACAAAAATGGTAACTCATTAGCTGATTGGATATGTATAATGTAGTCAGAAATTAGACAGTTTCTAGATAAAAGGTTCATACCATGTCGCCCAAAGTGGCCATTTCTCTTGAGCAGGTCCGCGTTATAGAAGACTGTAAGCGCTGTTGCTGGTTCAGTCCAAAATGAGACATTGATGAGATTATATTTCTTGGCAATCATTGATCCCCATACGTGGAAACTGTCAGCTATTATACAAGATACTGGTGGATTTGGTTTTGAGAGGACTAGATTTTCAATGAAATCATCGACATGAGCTTGGAAAACATGAGTGAGACCTATCATGAACTGGCTCGCGTTGGCTCTCCTGTCAAAACTCAGTGGAAAACCATCGCTGATTCTAGCATAACGAATGTCAAGACCAGATTCCTCTGCATGGGAGAAAGGGTTGTCGTCATCTTTATGTGAGTGAGCTTTAGCTATCCGCTCGTGAGTTGATTCCGTGTTGACAAAGGTGATGGTAAAACCTCTTGAGGCAAGTTTCATGGCAAGATGTGTGAAGGGATTTATATGGCCTTGAAAAGGAACTGGTATCAGTACTGCATGTGGCTGTATTTGTTCTTTTAGCTCCATTTTAGTCCTAAAATATTGCAGAATGTAGTTACTTTATATGTAGTATTAATACAGCACTTTGGAGTTTTGGACTACATGCAACAAGTATATAGGAGATGGTTGATTATTTATATAAGTTCTTTGATGCAGAAGTGTGTCTAAGTTGGTGTTCTGCTGTATAGCTGCACTTATGTGAATTTTGGATCCTCTCCTAGGCTACCTCTAAGGAATTTATGGGTCATTATGTCACGCAGGGCACGTGTGTTGCATTCATTTGTCTGGTGTAAAACACCGGCTTGTGTCCTACTTTCATTTTTGTTTGTGTAAACATCGCCTTGTGTTTAGCATTCGTTTTTGTTTGTGTAAACATTGCCTTGTGTTTAATATTCGTTTTTGTTTGTGTAAACACCGAGATTGTGTGTTGTGTTTTTTTTTTTGTGTGTGTGTGTGTGTTAAACACTGACTTGTGTTTTGCATTCGTTTGTTTGGTGTAAACACCGACTTATATTTTGCATTTGTTTAATAAATATTTCCTTCGTTTCAATTTATTTGTCTTACTTTCCTTTTAGTTTGTTCTAAAAAAAATGTTGGGATATGGGTTAGGCTTATAGGTTATACAGAACCGGAACTGATGTCTCTTCCTTTTCTTGGCAACTCTTTAGGGTTATTTGGTTGAGAATAAGTTATCGTAGGATTAATTATATATCCCGCGATAAGTTATCCCACTACATATATGGGATAACTTATTTCATCGCTATGGTATAAATGGTAGCATAAGTCATACCGAACTTGGCAACTAAACAAGAGACCAAAATTTTATTCTTGAACTATTCTTTTTATCTCCGAATTATTTATTTTTATCCCTCACACCAAACGACTCTTTAATTCTAATTTTCCGCATAACATATTTAAGATGACTAGATTAAAGGATATTTTGATATATTTTATATATCTTTAGTTTAAAACTACGAGATTAATTTTGTATTATTATTTTCTTAAAATCTAATAAATAAATTGAAATGAAGTGAATAATGTCTGATTTGTTTATAGAAGAAGAAAAAAACATGTGATGTGAAATGATTTAAAATAAACACTTAAGCCTTCAAAAATGGACTTCAAATCATTCAAAGAAAAGAAGACACAAAAAACACATGATGTGGACAATTATAAAATTCTTATGATATAATTATTTGAATGGTATAATACTAAAATGTATCATATAATTTGATCCCGTTTGGATATGCATAAATAGACGGTTAAATTTATATAAAGGCATATTTATGTTTTACTTGATAATATTTATTGAACATCTTATCTTGACATTTTATGTGTATTATTCATATCATGTCAGGTAAAAAAATATTGGAAAGTTTTTAAATAAACTATTCGAACACTTTTAGAAAATATATGATTATCATCATTAAGGATATGGTAAGATCAAACTCAATAAACTCTATTTGTTTAAGTGACTTATTATTAATTTACTTGTTTATTAATTCACCCTAATTCAATTCGCTCATAATTTAACACATAATTATACATGTTACTGAAAATGTGATCGTGCTTCGTGTGTTAGAATATTTTTTTAAAAAAAATTTATTAGAATAGAACTTTTCTTATATTTTAATGTTACAGTATTTTTATATAAATTTGTCTTTAAGCGTATAGGAGTTATTCAATTATATTTTACCATTTGTTTTATTAAAAGAAAAGACTAAATTACAAATCGTAATATTATTCTCTCCTAGTTTACATAATTTCATCTTTTAGATTTATTAATTTGCTTTTGAAAGTTTACAAAGCTTAATTTATTTTTATTATCTATTCACATAGTTATATAGTTTTCTTAATTAAAAAGTCCAATAAATGTTTTTCTCAATTTTTTCCTTTGTTTCCTTGTTCCCCTCTTTGAGGATTCTTCTTTTCCATTGTTCTTCTTCCTATTTTATTATTTATTCGATTTAATTTTTTGTACAGTCACAAAATGAATAATTTTGATTTAAAAAGTCATTTAATCTTGTATTATTTTAAAGATAAGTATTAAAAATACTTTTAAATTCTTTTTTTTAAAAATTTAATATCTAAATTATTGAAAGTGTAAATTTCTTAACTAAATTATCACTTTTTTTAATTTTATATCTAAATAAATAAAAGCGTGAATTTTATAAAAATATTTAGTAATTATTGTTTGACTTTTGAAAGAATAGGCCCAACTACTGACACACTTTTAACTTTGAATATTTATGATGAAAATAAGTCAAACTTAATTTTAAAAAATGATGGTTATGGTAGGGAATGTACATCGGAGAAACTTCTTTTTTTTAGAAGGTTACTAAGGTAGAAATAAATAAAAAAAGTGGATTGAGTGATATTTTAGCCAATTAGGTAAATGAGGAATATATTTAAATATTTTTAAATAGTTTAAAAATATTTTTGGCGCTTTTAAAAAAATTGAAAAAAATAATGGAGGTCTATACGAACTGGATAAGGCGGATTGAAAATGAAAAAAATTATTATGCAGGCTAATTAAAAATTTTGCGAGGTTAAGCTCATTTCGTTCTGCCTGCACCGTTATATTATCATCCCTAAACTACTTAATAAGAGGTATGATTTTCTTATAATCAAACAAAATCGTCCTTTCTAATTAGAACAATATGATGCCCTTAAATTTATTTATGAAAATAAAAATGTTCAAGACGAGAACATTTAGCTTATTGATCTCACGTATATGAGTGTCTATATAATGCAATTCTTAGAGGGACTAAGAATTTCATTTTATGTTTCTTCTAAGTCAATAAATTCAATGATCGAAATGCTAATGTCAATTATTTTAATTATTTTTCATGTGTTTTGATGAATCATTTCCTTTCATTTTGTATATGATTAATAACCAAATCAAACTAAAAATCATAACAAACAAACCATTAAATGTATTCATTTATTTTAATAATCTAAAACTCAATTAACTTAGTTTAATTTTGACCAACAATCAATTAAAATAGACCCATAAACACCATTTTTGGCCAAATATTTTCTTCTTTTCTTAATTTAAAAAGTATTTACAAAAGTTAATTCCATAAGCTTAAAAAAGTATTACATTTTTCCTCCAAAAATATTCTTAGAATATTGATCAAACATATATTATTAGTATAATAATATCAATAAAAATGATATTTAATATCATCTAAATACAAATAATTATGTTTCCATAATTTTTAAAATAAATAAATCTTGAAAGTTGAATCAAACAAATTATAAAATTCTTATTTTAATAATTAGCAGGATATATGCAGCCTTAGCTAATTAATATTAAACAAGTAATTTACAATAGTGACGTGCAAACTAATCTGTCATTAAAAAAAAACTCCAATTTTATTAGAACATTAGTCTAACAGTGTTTGGTTAAAAAATTATTAAAAGTGAAAATCTCGGGAGAATGACATGTATATAGTTTTGTCTTTACGAAGATATAAAGATTATTTACGACAGATTCTTAATAATATATTGATATTAAAAATTGAAAGGAAATACGTCATATCAAAAATAAGATAGATGAGAACAATAACACCAACCTAATACGATAACTGAAATTTGATTAAATTAATTTTAATCAATTAGCTTTAGTGAGCTACTAAAAGTCATATGTTCACCAGCTAATTAATTGTTTAATAAAGAATCACTGACCACAACAAACACTGACCTAATTAATTTAATCATTTTAATTAATTAATACTCTAAGCACCAGTAAAGTGATAGAAACCCCTTATTATTATTTTTTAATATTGTTATAATAAATATTCCATTATTATGCCAACTGTAGCACCACTCAAATAAAACACTCATCATTTTCCCTTTTTATATTTCTTAATATATTTATTATCATTTCCTTTTCCTATTATTCTATTGTATATTATCTATCACAAATTATGTAATGATATTTATTACTCATCACGAAATTAAGAAAAATAAATCATTAATATTTATAATCTTGAATTAGAATTACATATTTATATAACTATAAATTATTTTTTAAAAAAATATTAAATAATAATATTATTATTTATATAAATTTAAAATTATATCACGTAAAACGTTCGTAGATAGTTAAAAAGTTATACATATATTATGATGTAATTGTACCAAAAATAAAACTGTGTTAATGAGAAAAGTAAATATTTTGGTCGAATTATTGCAATCGCAAGTTATATAATAATAATAATAATAATAATAATAATAATAGTTAAGTTTATAAATAAATATTTAATTATAGGTTATGAATAACTCACTTGATACCAGTAGCAAAAATTTAAACAAGAATGATTAGTCTCGCGTATTAAATCAGAAAAATTGGCTATACTATTTAATTAATTATTATAATTATAGTTTATTATAAATTTTTTTTTGATTAACTTTAAATGTTAATTACGTGGAATGAATTCGAGTTTGTATAGTTCATCACATTTTTAATTCGTTTCGTTTGTGTAATTCGCAATTAACAATTTTTTAGTTTGATTTGTATTTGTATATGATGGTTTGTATAAGACGGTGATTTTCTTGGTTTTTCAATTATATCACCACATACATTTAATCTTTTTCGTTTAACTTTCTAATATTTGTATAAAGGTGCAGTTTAGAATTTTTTATAGTGTGATTTGTATAATATAATTTGTATAATTGTTTAAAGTTTAGATGTTTGTGTCTGTATAAATTCGTTATTACCAGTTTTATCATATTTATATAATTTTAAATTTTGTATTAGTCAATTAAACACATACACATGAATTATGCAAATGTACTCGCAAATTATAAAAATGAGGGGTGTATTATACAAATTATTATCCTCTCTCACTCGCTTCTCTCCTTCCTCATCCATTCTCGCTCGTCTTTCTCCTCCCTTAACATGTAGCTATGAATCGTAATTTGCTAATTATAATTATAAGCCTAATTAAATTATTTTGAGTGACTATATGTGAAAAATGCACAAATAAACACTCTCTTTCTGTTTTTATTCGTCTCTCCCA